GCAAGAAGAGTGCAATGAAAATGCAAAGTTTTTTTTTGTAGAAAAGAAAACGCCATTAGTGTATGAGCTTTGAATTCCTACCAGAAAACCTATCACTTTAAAATATCCTATTAATGCCCAGATATACTCTTCATACCTTAAAGTTTCAAATGCCAGTTTAAAGCATAAATACTATACAGTTTTTAAGAGGAACGAAAAATTCATATAAGGTTCTTTCCCGTACACAACGCGGGATCCCGCGGGTGCCCAAAATAGCCCAGAAATCATTCCCGTACTCAACAAAATGGGTAATAGAGAGCGAAAATTGGAACGTATTGGATCGTAGGTGTCTTCTTCATGCTGCCCGTAACAGCCCGAACTTTTTCTCCGGGTAAAAATGGATAAAGCGTCAAAGTGCATATCAGATCTTTTGTGCTTACATGTTGCCTGCATTTACTTGGTGCTTTTAAGGAATAGTGAATGTATTCTCAATCTTTATATTCTTAAAATTAAACTTGTGAAACGAAAATTCATTTTCCAAGAGTTAGCATTTAAGTGACAAAAACAAAAACAACGCGAATCAACTGTTTCTCAAATTCTGGGCACGAAATGTGGAAAAGACGATATTGGTAAGGAATGCAAGGGATTGCAACTGCATTAAAGAAGTCAGAAAACATTTCATAGCGCTTTCTTTGGTTACTTATTTTAACATTTGTTCCGAGCGAATTCCACTCGTTTAGCCGTGAAGCTAATACTTTTGCTTTATTTAAAGGCAGGTTTAAATCTTTCACTAAGTGGTAAAACTCTTTTGAATTAATCATATGCGGTCCAATATTCGCTGGTTCGATAACGAATTGCCATCGATACCACTTGACATTTGTTTTCATTATGGAGTACTGCAGGGAACCAAGGCGAATCTATACAAAGTGGTGTTACCGGCGAAGTTGTAGTGATTGTCAAAATGATGAGGTTGTTGTAAACAAGGCGAATTCATAACACAACAAATTACAACAGTACAACCGCAGCGAAAATATAATTCGCTGGCAACACCACCTTGTAAAGATTCGCCATGCAGGGGACGTTAATGGTAAATCTAGGTAGGTACTGTGTATTTTTGACAATTGTGCCAAGATGCCTATTACGTGGCTTAACCACACAATTAGTCTGTTCCTTTGAACTTCGGTCTAAAACCTGTGGAACTGTCAAACTTCAATTTTACTCTCTCAAGTGTAAAACGAGAACAGAAGAAAAAGTGTACGGGAACACGCACTAGGTTCATTCAAAATTAAAATATTGTTACCAATTGTTACTAGTACTTGCAATTTTTTACTGGAAATGCAACATTGACCCAAATATTTGAAAGAGAGAGCAAATTCGAGAGCGAAAGAACCCAAGAGAGCTGCAAATTCTTGTAACTAAAGTCCTCTCTCGACGTACCAAAACCACGCTCTATAAGTCACTCATCATGCCCGTGCTGGTATATGGCGCAGAAGCATGGACAATGACAACATCCGATGAGGCGGCTCTTGGAGTGTTTGAGAGAAAGATTTTGCGGAAGATTTACGGGCCTTTACGCGTTGGCGACGGCGAGTACCGCAGACGATGGAACGATGAGCTGAATGACCTTTACAACGATATGGACTTGGTCATGTCGTTCGAATGGACACCGACGCTCCAGCTCTGAAAGTATTCAACTCGGAACCCGCTGGTAGTAGCAGAGGAAGAGGGAGGCCCCCACTGCGATGGAAAGATCAGATGGAGAAGGACTTGGCTTCACTTAGCGTTTCCAATTGGCGTCAGTTGGCACAGAGGAGAAACGACTGGCGTGCTTTGCTGAACTCGGCCAAAATCGCTTAGGCGGCTACAGCGCCAAAAAAGAAGAAGAAGAAAAATTGGACTAGCAGGAATTTGCAGGAGTCAAAAAGTAAGGTTATGTTTCAAATTCAAATGTAACAAACTGTTTAAGAGGATGATTTGATGAAACAAAATTAGTTAAATGAAAATATGGATGGAAAATCTAAATATATTGTATATTTTTTTATTTTTATGACGATGGGAACTATTCCCAATTAAAAAGAAAATTGCGCGCCAAAACTTCACCGTCTGAACGCGTCAAAATGGCTTTAGTTGCAGGTTTTTACTAGTTTTGCGTTCAATATTACACTCTCTATTTTTCTTTTACGCTCTCGCTGCAAGTGCTTACTGGAAAAGTTATTGAATGGACCTACTATTTGCTGCAAAAATGTCAGTCGGTTTGTTTACATGCCGTTGGTACAACACTGATTTGGTTGAAAGATCACTAAATAATTATTAAAATCTATACAATTAGGAATAATTACGTATGTATAATACATACATACATTGTATATATTCAAATATTTCGTGGTTTACTTCCATTTGTTAACAAATGTAAGGTTCTTTGCTTTCATGGTGTTCTGTTTTTATTTGCAAATGAAATTCTGCCCATCGTTTGACACTTTTCATGAAATTACAGGAAGAAAAACCCCGCACTAAATCCTGCAACTTCTGACTAGGAGCAGTTGCTCAGTTACCCTCTCAAAAGTGTTCCCACTTACAGGTTTTATGTCTATATCAACGACTTCCTGTAAGTTCTGACTAAATCCTATAAACCGGACTGCTGTTGGAACAGACTAAATACATATGGTACTCGCGATTCCCCCTTCCCCTTCTTTCTTACATATTAACCCTCTGCCGCATACAATCGCTGTCGGAGTCAGCGTAAAACTGTAGGTTCCTCCCCTTTGTGTGACAACATCAAGGCGCACTCCACCTATCGGAGGAGAAGCTCGGCCAAACACTAACATAATTATGTCTAAGCGCCAATCTATTATTATTAACAAGTGCAATAAAAATGTGTTATAATAATTAAATGCATTGAAAAGTTAACAACGAACAACGGAATGTAATAGATTTGCCTAGTGCTAGATGACATTTAAATATAACCTCACGTCTATTTATGTGCGCGAAACTCAACTGGAAAAACGAAAAACTAATGAGAAACGCAAGTTTTCCTCGTAAAATAAAAAAAAAATATTTTCTTTATTCACACATTCTCTTCCGTGTCAATCAATAATTAGTTTACCACTACCCAACTGTTTTATAATGTTTTCATAAAATTTTCCATATATTTCTTTGCGAAATAAAATTTGAAATAAATAACTTGGAGTCGTTTTTTCCTTCGATATCGGTTTATTAATAGGTACGTAAATAACGTGTTTTTCACATTTTACATTTTTTATTCATCTCCTTCATAATTCATGCAGGGGTTAGAAGAAAACAGTCTAAGCATATATACTTATTTACTTATCACTGTAAAAGCAAACTGTTTTTTCGTTTGCTTTTCGATATAAACAATCAGAAAATACTCATTTAATAAGAAACCCAGAAATTATTTTTGTTTGTTGTCTTATGTTATCAATTCTTCTTCTTCTTCTTCTTTTTTGGCGCTGTTACCGCCAATGACATTGGACAAAATAGTTAATATGTTAATAATTAACTTACAGTATAATATTGTAAGATCGGCCAACGCCTTTGTTGGTGATTGTTTATAATTCAAATTGTTATTAAGTATGTGAATTTTATTTGTGGTATTTATTAAGACATGTTTTTGCGTTAGATATTCTTTGTGTTTTAAATTGTGCGAATAAATTTTTTATCGAACGATTTTTTCAATTAGTAAGTACATAAGTGTATACATGAATATTGGTTTAAGTATGTAACTTTAAAGCCTATGTATAACTAAGTTATATTTTAAAACTTGTTTTCATACAATTAACTATTGCACACATATCACAACAAATCTCACAATTTTTCGCGGAATTCATTTGATTTGCCACAGAATGATTTTAGAAAAAGGATTTGTCTCATGTTTATTGCTTTTGAGCCATTTGCCGACGGCAAAATCGTATAAATTACTAGGCGCACGTCACTAAAACTGCTCGTTCTTGGTTGATATTGACAAACGATGCGGCTGCCAATTTGAGATCGCACGAAACTCCAAGTTAAAAGAAAACGCGTGCTAAAACATAGCTCCGAGATTTGGCACAGAAAATAAAAAAGGTACCATGCTCACGAAAAGTCCGTAGCGCAGAAGCAGCAATACATCGGCTTGCACAAGAATATTATTACAAAGGGCAACACGAACTTAAACAACTCGCAGATTAAACGGCGACACCAACTTCAATTTCGATTCTAACTTTGTGTACTATAATTTCGACTTGAAGTCAATGAAAACTTAGAACGCTGTTAGGCGGATGCGGATATGAATAAAGACCGGCCGCAACAGAGCAACACAAAACTGCGAATGCGGCGTGCAGTGGCCAAATCGTCAACTCAAGGCGCTGCAATGCCAACCACTCCGAATTGAGTTGTTCCCGAGTGCCAAAGTATTAGTGGTAAAGATGTGCGAATATGTAGACAACGGTGGAGGTAGAGGTGGTGCTCCTACTAGTGAAGTGTTGCTTGGAGCTTGTGTGGCCGGTGACCGTTGTGCGGTCGGTTCGTTGAGGCGATTTGTTTTCTTTCAATGAATATGTCGCCACTCAAACCTCAGGCACGATAGACATACCGGCGGACGCGAAAACTAACAAAAACCACTTTTATTGCCGCTGCTTTTATTCTGGTATTGTTGCTGCTACTGTTCTGTTGACGTCGCTGTTACTATTGCTGTTGCTGTTATTCCCAATGCAGTTGCCTATGCCAGTTCTGGGGAATCGCAGCCGTCGCAGATGCAACTGTTCTTGCTCTGTCGGCTCCTCAGATCCCAGGGCGACGAGTGCATGTCGCAGCGCATTGTCTCAAAAATTTGTTGCGCAGCCACCACCACGAGCATTGCTCCAACGCATATACTTGACTCAGCAATCAAAAGCGGCGCTGCAAGCGCACCTACACGGCAATGCGACGCCACAGCCCCCACTCCCCGTTCACCAATTACTCTTCGCAACCAATGTGTGTAAATGCATCTATGGGTGTCGATGTGTTTTGGTTTGCATTAATGTTTGTCCATTTATCGGCGTTGTTATGCACGCGGTGCTGTATTTCTGTTAATTCACTGCTATTGGGACTTTGGTGCTGATATGATTCTGTAATGCAGTTTGTGTTGCTGTTGCGCACGAACCAAGGGGTTCGAAGTGAACCGATTTACGCTACTATAACCGAAAGAGCTCTTTTTATTGTTATATTTTCTATATTTGCTTTGATATATGTATGTATTACAGTTCTCGCTCTCGTCACCACTCTTACGTTAAGTCCTGTTCCCCCCTTAGAAGGGGTACATAACCGGTGGCATCGTGTCTTTTCTGTCATGTGTTCCGGTATTCACAGTTTTGCAAAATTTAGAGCTAATAGCCGAGCGCAACAGTTCAGTCGCTCTCTTAATAATGCATATTATTTACAAACATACATATGCACATTCGATTGTAGATACATTCTCATTTATAAATGTATGCAGGAATGCTTGTATTTAGTGACCGTTCTTGCTTTTGTTTCGGCGAAAGCCTACTCAGTTGATCAGTAGAGTGTTTCTTAACCCTTTCCCCGCTTATTTACATAAACTAAACATAGATAAGGAATCGAAAGTGAAATATCTATTAAATCTCGAAGTAAATCTAGATATGTGTCTCACCTTTAGATACGAATCGTGCGCTAATATCTTCTTATTCCTGCTAGCAATTACACTGTTTTATATACATATCTACATTAGGGTAGTCCAAAAATACATATGAAAAAGTAAAGTCGGAACTTTTATGCTCTCAACCCCTAGGTTTTTCTATACCAAAACAAATAAACAAATAGAGGTCGACAAAGCAATCATAGTTTTCCATGTATTTTATATGGGGAATAACAACTTTTCGTAGAAATGGTATAGAATTCTTGAAAATCAATATTTTTCGATTGGAAAACTCTGTTTCTTTTCAAGAGATTCACAATAATAATACCCAAACATTTATTTAACCATTTTTCATAGTAACTATATTTGATCCGCTAAACCCACCAGTAGGCGCCACAAAATGCAATGGGGGATAAATTACAAAATTTTAGTATTAAAAAATGGTTAAATAAACAATTGGGTATTGTTACTGGAAGTTTCCTGAAGAGAACCAGAGTTTTCCGTTCGAAAAAATAGATTTTCAAAAATTCTATGTATACCATTTCTACGAAAAGCGTTTTTTTTCCCATAAAAAAAAACATGTAAAACTTTGAGCGCTTTGATAGACCATTAAATATTTTTATATCAAAATACAAAATAGGGGTATATTTTTTCGATATAGAACAACTCTAGAGGTAAGAGCATTGAAATTCCGACTTTACTTATTTTGGGCCACCCCAGTGTACATACATCTCGTCGTTTAAAGTACAAAACCGCGTATCGCCATTCTTCAAAACCGCGAAACTGACATTGGCTACCAAAAATTGGATTTGTTCACACAAGCTCTTGGCTCAATCCTTAACCATTCGTCCTGAAATATACTAGCCAGAAATGTAATTGTTTTATAAAACACAGAACCATTTTGAAATATGAGTGTTTTACGCTCTAGAAAATAATTTCTACAACTTCACGTACGCGGTTTTGCATTTTGCTGATACGCGGTTTTGCATTTTGTTGATACGCGGTTTTGCACTTTAAACGACGATATGTATGTATGCATGTAAGTACATTAGAGTGCATCATCTATACAAAAAAAGTAGGTACTGTTTGTCTCTCTATGTCGATATCTATATATATAAACTAGCGTAACCTGCGAAATTAATAATAACACTGTTATAGCCGCAAAAAAAGACATGTCCCGAGAAGACGGTTTCATCCTATTTCGGGTATGGGGAATCGAACTGCATCATTAGTTTTTAAGTTTTCTGTATGCCTTCATACAACTTTTTATTTTGAAAATTTGGCCTCCAATGAAATTTTTTCAGGTGTTATACCCTATTTTATGGTTTTTAATTTTTACCTGGTTGTTTTTTTTTGTCAAAATTTCTTTGGCAAAGTTGTTCATAATGCCCCAGGTCAGAAAAGAGGTCTTTGACACCTTTACGTGGAAAATCCGAAAGCAGTTGTGTATTAGTGACACAGGAGCACAAAAAAAAATGTTATAAACCAGATGGTAGACCGCACTACTTCTAGGTTTTTGTGGTCCCTGAAAACGAATATGACCAAAAAAATAACCTCAGCGGACCATTTTCACGTTACTACCCTCTTGCAACCACACCTGGGGATTGAAATTGCATTTTTCACGCAAAGTTAAGTTGGACCCTTTAAACTAGGGTTGCCAACCATACTATAATATATAGTATTGTACTATTTTTTGGGTCTACGTACTATATACTGTTGGAAAATAATATAGTATGCAAAAATACTATATTCCTTCAATTATAAATATAAATATTTTTCAGTTATTTGTAAGAAAGAAATGTTTTAAAATGGATGACATTTATACTGAAATATCAATATTAAAATAAATATACTTTAAAACAAAGGGTCCACAGATCAAAAATGGAAATATTTTTCAAAATACTTAGAAAGATTTACCAAATTTACTTAAAATTATTTCGCTTGTGCTCTCTATTCCTGCAATTTTGGCATTCACAGAAAGAGTTTTTTCTATTAAGATTTTGAAATGGTGAGATGAAAGAAATCAAACGAATATCTCGCTAATAAAAAACGAACTTTCGATTTATATTAATTTAAATATTGATAGCGATAAAGCATATGATACTTTCAGAGAAATATATTTTTTATATAGGAAAAAAATGTACACTTAAAAAGCATTTTTACTTTTTCTTAAAAGAAATATTATATATATTTGAAGTGTACTATATTTGTTCAGATTTTTTAGAAAAAGTACTATACATTTCTTAGGCAACCCTAGTTGAAACCGAAAATGACTCCAAAAAGTTAATTAAATCCCTCCCTGACTTCCTATAACCACCTGACTACACCCTGAATTAAAATGTATGCGTATTTCCATGTTTTTGGGCCGATGAAACCGAAAATTACTACATTATGGTTATATTCGGTTTAAAGCGCACCAGAGTGGTCTGAAATCCAAATCTAGGTGAGCAAAACTATTTGCTCAAAGACGCTTTGACACAATTTGGAACCACTGTATTTCTATCAGCCCTATTCTGCATTTCGATTATGTTCCCGCATTCCGCTCCGCAAGAATCGAACTGAGGTATTCTGCGTTACGATCGAATCGAAAGAGGAAGAGGAGGAGAGAAAACATCTTTCGAAATCAGCTGTTTGCCTAGAAATATGTGAAAACGAAACAAAACAAAGAAATATTGGCCACCAAACTATAGCAGCTTATGAAGTTGGAGTTTGTAAATATTTTAAAATAACTAAATATATCTAGCATCACTGTAATTTAAAAATAAAATTTCGTTTGCTCTTAATTTAAGTGGAAACATAATTATAAGAATGAAATCCATAGCCGCGGCGTTATTGCTTAAAGAGGAGGACGAGTCCCAGATTGGTGATGCGGAAGTTGAAAGGCGGAGATTTAGGGACATGTTTGATCCTTCTCAGATGAGTGAAGAGTAATAAGAAATTCATCTTGAACTGTATTACTCATCGCTCAAATCCAGTTAAATTATAAACGTGGTTTGAGCACTCCACAACATTTGCATTTACTACAGAGTGGAAGATTTGAACGCAAATGAATTTCATTTTGAAAGCCGTCAGGAGGAGGGCAAGAACAAAGCTTATCCTTCCATAGCAAATCAAATTTGAGACAACATACACACCTCTTTTTAAAAAGTTAGTAAAAACGACTGCAATAATAAAAACATCTTTTTTATGTAACTTCACATTTTATGTATGTATGTATGTACATATGTACATCTATAAATTTTATACAAAAAGAATAAATTGTATTCAGTGCATTTCACAGTCTTATTTATAGATAATGAAAACAAAAATGCCTGGACTTCCTCTTTGAAAACCTCGCCCAATATCCCTTTTGGTTGCCACTATTTGAGCCAATTTTTCGTATTGCCCGTATTGCCGCTCGCGAAAACACAGAAATCGAGAAAATTCATTTATGATGGCTTTTACAATCATGCACAGTATATTTTACTTAATTTTTTTAATAAAATTTTATTATTTAAACCCACTAAAATAACAATCGAAACGTTCTCCGTCAGCAAATTTGCAACTTAGAAAAACAGGCCTACGATCGAAATGTAGAATAGGTATAATCGTAAATTTCGAAGATTGATCGAAATGAAACGGAACGCAAAATACCAAAGTTGCCAAACGGAGAAAATTTCGATTCGAGTCGAAATGCAGAATAGGGCTGTATATGTTTTTGAGGTCACTGATTACGAATCTGAGTCTGCGCTCGAATCGTAACATCTGTTCACGGTTCGAAAACCATACGAAATAAAATTACGTGATACCGTCAGTCGTATAAGCTGAATGGGACAAAGAGTACGTTCTCGTATGTCATAATCCGAAAACGATGTGACGATTCGAGCCCAGATTTTAAAAATTTAAAATGACCTCTCCAATATGGCGAATACAAAAATTAAAAGATTAAAACATGGCATGCAAACGCATTCGGGGTCGTTTATTATGAATTGAAGTAAATTTTCAAAAATTCGAAATGGCGGATCAAATATGGCGAAAAGAAAAATTAAGAAATCAGTAAACTTTATTAAAACATGTTATTCTGGGGTTTTTGAGATCGTTGATTCCGAATCCAAGTTTCCAATTTTGATTTGGACAGTCTTTTAAAAGAAAGTGAGTTTGAAGATGGTACTGTCAGGTAATTAATTTTGTATAGTTAAAGAAGAAAACATTTTGTTGTGAATAAAGTTTTATTTTTATAATCTTTCACACATTAAAAAGCAGAAAACAAAACATGATTCGAATAGTCGCATTGGTAAGAAATTGTATCTATATTGAAGATTGGGCAGGAAGATTGAAAGTGTTAACAAAGTTCATCGTTGTCTTCTGGGGAAGCTTTAGAAGTAAACGTAGTACTTCTTGTGGGACACATATC